TTTAAAACTTTTCTCTTTTTAATATAGAAAGGCTTTTAGGCATAACTATATGGAGAGATATATAAATAATATTAATTTCCCCATTTACTTCTCTAACTGTTTTTGCAAGAATGAATGTGGATTAACATTGTTATCCTTTCCTAACAATTATCTTTCGCTACTCTAGCTAGTTTAGTTCTAAAAGACAGAGCCATTGACAAGGGAAAAAAGGGAACCTTCTCAGATTTTTCAGCTCAGCGGTGGTAATGTTGCACTGAACACTAATGAGGGAACCCCCACTGATTTGCCTGCTTTGTGACTTTTCTATTTCATAATTATTTTTAAAACGCAAAACGACATGAGGTAGCCTAGTCATGTCTCTACAACTTCCTGGTAGCTCAGTTCTTACTGCAGATGGCAATTTGTTCTTGTAACATATATGTCTCTCTGACCATTTTCATCTAATTTGTATGGGTTCTACCATTTCCTTTCTCTCTTTCAGGGACCTTGCTGTGTGTGAGCTAGGGGGTGGCATGACATGCTTGGCTGGGCTCATGGTAGGTCTTTTCTCAATTCCAATCCCATTCAGAGGAAGAAACAAAAGGAAAAATGTTCCAGTGCCTCCAACTGCTGGGTCAGAGAACTGTCAACAGCCTCAGCTGCGGTCAAGCTGCAGAGTCTTGAGAGACCTTCTAGATTGACTTGCTTTCGTATCATATTGATTTTATGGTTGCCTCGATGAGCAGAAACATTTTACCTCCGTGTAGTCAATATCTTTTGTTGTGACATTCCAGGCCACGTACGGTCTGTCTTTCATTGCCATAGCCGAAGCATGTTTTTTTTTTTCAGATTATAGTCCCATTTGCTAAGATACAGGAATAGCCTGGCGAATCACAGTTGGAGCACCATGATATAGCTGCTAATGTTTTGCCTGCATTATTACACCAACAAACATGATCCAGAGCTCTCGGTAATTAGATTCTTTTGAATTAGATTGGCCATTCAGGAGAGTCGTTCACCATTCTCTGGGTTCTGAGTCATGTATTCAGGAGATATTATGTAGCAGTGCAGTGCATTAGACAAGTTTTTATGTCTCTACAAATAAAAGCATATTGTTACACTGATTGGCATTTGACAAACCTGTCGCTCTTATACAATGTGTCGAGGTTACAGCCCAATGTGCGAGCATGTCAAAGCTCACAAAAAAATTACCCTTACAAAGCCATCTGCCTGCAATGCAAAGTTATATGAAGGGCATCAGGCAGTCAGACAGAAGCAAGCTGAAAGGCAGAGTGACAGCCTTGTATGATGGCTCTACTAGATAAACAGAAGCCCGCAAATGAAAGCCTCTCAGAATACCATCATCGGCTGTCACAATGCAATTACGGAACAGAATGATAGCAAGATAGAGGCTCCCGCAAATGGAATGATAAAAGTATTGACTGATTTGATTGAATGATTAAAATAATGCAGACATAAAATGAAAAAAGATTGAAGATTGTTACAGAGAAATAGGTGAGGAAGCATGATACTGAAGGCTTGTCACTCCTGTCTTCACTTCCACACAGACAAGCATATTTGCTCATTGTTTGCTGTGCTCTTTTTTTCAGGTTGCTATTTCTGCAGATGTCAAAGAAGTTCTGTTAACTGATGGAAATGAAAAGGCCATCAAAAGTATCCTTATTCAGATAGAAAACTGGTTTGTTGTGCTCGTTCCTTTTTACTGGCTGAGTAACAATCAATATAAAGACAGACAGCATGGGGTATATTAAGAAAAAGTCCTCAAATAAGTAATTAAAAAATAGATGAGGAATATGTGGAACAGAACTACAGCTTCCCCCACAATAAATGCCACATTTTCTTCTTTAATTAAAAATGTACATGTTGGTATAGAGCAAGTACAGTAGTAAATATTTGTCTTGTGGTTGAGTGCTGAAAGATTCCTAGTGTGTATGCTTCACGTTAGAGGAGGTATAGCAATGAATCAAACCATTAGCTCCCCTTCATATATCCATTTTGCAGAACTGGATTTATTTTCTGGTTGTTTTTTTTTTACTTTCAGATACTAGCCTCTTAAAGCCACTATTTGTATATTGTCATAGCTTATCCAGCGTATATTGAAATGCATGGCTTCATTATTGCGGCGAAGTTATAACTGCCCACAAATTACCCATTTAGTGTGCTTAATCAGTTATCAATTTATCATTGTTTCTCTTGATGTAAGATTGTAAAACTGCTCTGTCCCTTGTAGAAAGTATTTTATTAGATTTCCTACATTAGAATAAATTGCTATTATGCCCTTCTAATATGAACACGTAGTTCAGAAAATTGAACTAGACTTTGGCTAAACGAGAGAATGAGTGAGGATAATTTGTGGCTACATTAAATATCAGCACAGAACAAGAACAGATATATACAGGGAATGCTAATAGCCCTTAGAAATTGAGAGGGGGGAAAAAAGGAAGATATCTGTTTGCTTTTGTTCCTTGGTAATCTTTCCATTTGTTTTTTAAGGGACACTAGTTTTTCAGGTTTTGGCCACTGCATCATCAGAATTATTTAGATTTGAGTTTTGTCTGTATTTGAGAGCTAATGAGTACTTAGTGGAAAAAAATAAGTTAAATTGCACTTGCTGACTTAAAATAGGAGGCATTGAAGTGTGGTAACGTTAGGTACTGCCTTTAAGAAGCCGTTCTCTGGGGTAACTGAGGTAACTATAATTACTTACAACACTGTAACAATTTAATGGAAAAATGCCCAAGTCTAGACCATATCTTTTAAAACTTGAAGGAAGCTTTTATAGATGTCTTTTTCTTGAAAATGCAAGCTCTCACTTGTGGTCCAGGGGTTCTAATTTTGTTAAATTCTAGTTTGTTGTACTCCTGTCTGGAGGAGGAACTATTCATTATTCTGTGTGTTTTATCAGCATCACCCCTTCCAGCCTTTCTTCCGTGTCACTGTGAAGTTGAAAAATGTAGGAGAAAAAAGCGTTTCAAAACTAGCCTAGCAAAACAAACCCATGTTTTATAGAAGGACAGGTATTGAACAAAAGGTCATTTCACCCACAGAAAGCTTCAGGTGAGCTCAGTAATCATCAAGTCGGCACATATCTTGCATAGCAGATTCCATAAACATACCTGAACTTTTTTGAAATTTAGAAGCCTTCTGCAGCCAGGAAAATTAGGGAGTGCTAAAAGTATTCACTCAGTCTTTGGAATGAAACAAATTAAAGTCCTTTCGTTCCTGAAAAAGATACTGTTAATGTCCTCTAATTAACACACCTTAGTTTTTCACAGTGTGTTTTAGCAATATCTTTCATTTCCAAAAGTCTCACAAGAACTCTTCATCTGTATTCACCCAGTGAATCCCTTTCAGAGGAACGATTGGTGGAAGGCTCTAACAGGAATTTATTATTTCTTTTTTAACATTTGGTGCTCTGAAAGCTCAGCATTCAAAGTGCTTTTATTGTGTTGGGTTTTACAATGGGCTTAATATTAGCAGGGTGCCAAAGTGCAGCGGACTAAGAAGTTTACAGTGTAGGTGCAGTGTATTCTTAAAAGTGCACGTAATAAAATTTATCTTGCATTTGATGTGTTTTATGAACCTCAGTAGTGATTTTATGATGTCTTATGGTAATTTTCTTTTACATTCTTTTCTATAGTAACTGGCTATAACAGAAGTTCAGGCTAAATTTAGATCTGTTCCAGCCATGCCATACTCACTGAAAACAGTAAAAATTTCTAGTGTAATTGGAAATAATATTTGCCCCCAAATGTCACAGACCAAAATGATGTATTTCTGCTAATTTTTATTATTTCTGATAGTATTTTTTAATTGCTTAGCGTACCAAATTAAATTAACGTGGGCTAAAACACTGTTTTCCTTTCTAGATTTTGCTCTTCAGGAATGGTTAATGCCTAGTATTATGCTTTTTATGTAGGTATTATAGATTAAAATAATCTTGTTTAAAAATTACTGTTTACATCTTGCCTTTAAATTTCTTAGGAAGCTTAAATTACATGCCAGTCATACTATAATACCCAAAAATTACTTTCCAAAAAGTAAAAGTGGTTGTCAACAAAAAGAAAAAAAAATCACTGTCAGAAGCCAGGAAATCACCAAGCAAGCCTGCTAATTATTCTTAATGGGCAAGATGAGCACATTAAGAAACAAATGAATACATCAGTGAAATGTAATTGAAAATCGACCTGGCAATAGTGCATTGCATCTGAGAATCTGCCTTTGTATTATCATCATCATCATAATTATTGTTGTTTTTGTTGTTGTTATCGCTATTCAGTGAGCATAACTAACAGCTTTGCTTTGTGAAGTCTCAGGCTTTTGAGGGTTTGATTTTTCTTTTAATTTTTGACATTCTTCATGTTATTCTCCATTTCTTACTGCCACATGAAGCATTCACTATGTATGTTTTCAATATCTGCATTAGGATATGTTATTGAAATACTACAAGGTAAAACATTTTATGAATATGTTAATTTCAAATTCACTGTTGTCATTTTAACCATTTCACTGTGAAATATGTAGCTGCATTTTATATTAATCAGTGGTCTTATGCATGAGGTTTATGGAAGTTTTTAAAAGGATATTATTATTTGAGGTACTAATCCATTTAAAAGACTTCACTCGAACTCACTCCTTGTGCTTATCATGGCCAGGTTTTAATTGATTAACAGATCATTTATATTGCAAAATCAATAAAATAAAGAAGATGTTCTTGCCTTTTCAGCTTCATTCAAAACTTCATTGTTGGTTCAGTGTGTTTTATCTCTCAGGATCATTTAGATAAAGAAAGTATTAAAAAGAAAAATACAGTGAATATTCAAGTGAATAATAAGGATATGCATAAGCAAAGTTATCAGATTCATTCTTCTTTGTGATTTTGGGTGGTATGCATTCAGATACATTTTTCCAGCTTAGGTAATATCTATGAGATAGTCATGAACAACAAATTCTGTTTCCTCAGGACACTGGAAGCATCTATACATCCAAATCCAAGGATGAGTAAAAGTTGCCTCCTATTTCAGAGAGGCTGTGTACCTTCTCCCTTCGCTCTGTCTCACACTATGCACTAGTGACTTGAACTACTGTCTGAAAGCATCAATAATACAAAACGTTGTTGCAGTGCACTGTAATGACCATTAAGATATAGTGTATGGATCTTTCAGCAGTCCTGGGAAATTCAGGTTAGAAAGGTCGTGTTCAGCCTGAATGTCTGAGCACATGGGCTCATAAATTATTTTAAAAAGCTAGTGTTAACATATTTACAACAATTATTAATAGTTTGTCTCAGTTACATAATTTAAGTGCAGTGTAGCTAATTTATCAGCAATGTTCCTTCTGACTCTCAAAACGAGCAAAGCATGGAATTATTTATGCCTTCCTTTTGCTTCACAGGTATAAGCTATTCATTACAACTTCTCATTGCATATTGTGGAAAAGATTTAAAAGGCACGTCCAAACCGCAGAGATTTGTTTAAACCAGTTTTCTGTCATTCCATCTCTAGTTTTTGGCTTCATGAAATATCAGTTGTCTTTTCTTTTACATTGTTTGGATAGAGGCTTTCCTAAAATAACTTTCCTTAAATAGCCAGCTGTGTTATGAAGGCCAGATATGTGACTTCAGCAAAGTAAATAGAAAGATACAGTGATATTTTAAATGAGCCTGACACTCGTGGTCCATTTTCTTATGAAAACACTTGCAAAGAATTCAACGTATTTTGAGCACCTAGAAACATCTTCTAATTAGCATCAGATTTCTTTAAATATTGACATCTTTACCAAAATTGTCCATTTGAGATAACTTTTTATGTTTGAGAACAAATACTTTAAATATGTATGGATCCACACTGGGTGACATTTAGTATTCTCACAGCTTTTAGTTACTTGCTACACCTTTTCCTTCCAATGGCATCTTGCTAACCACTAATGATTATGAAGGTTATCTTTCTAGGCGTAGATGATTTGGCACAGCTTCCCTTGACAGCGCTTGCTTTGGCCTGCCTGAATGGCTACCCAAATTTGTTACCTCATCTTCCAAACTAAGAGAAGCTGAGACATGAGGCTGAGGCACTGTTGCAGTACCTTTGGGGAAGAAAAGGCATTTATTGCTTTCCACTGTCTTTTATGGTGGTTCCAAACCATTCTCAAGAAAGCAAATGGACTAAACCTAAAGGTTAAGGTGCTCCCATTGTATGTTGGATTTCTTATGTTTATAAGCAACAGTTGCCTTTAAATGTATATAAGGTATGGGAAGTCTTTTTCAATTCCCTCTATAGCTACAGGACAGTGGACATAGGCAACAAGAGCAAGTTGCTGTATAGATATATATGGCTGATGTGCTGGAGTGGCAATGTAAAATTTATGCTTCTGAAAAAAGACTGACTCTTTGCACAGATTAAAGAAGACTAAACAGATAAAAGACATTATGAAGGTATTAGCAATGGAAAAAAAGTGTTTATTATTACTCTTATTGCTGATCCAATTTTGTAGATAATTCTTAACAAATATGCTGCAGATGTAAATGAGATCATCACAAGAAACCAAAATGCAGGAGTGTTTAAGGCTCAGAAAGTATCAAGCTGGTAAGATTCTACTAAGCTCTTACTGATTCTTGCATGTCGTTGAGCATTTAATGTGAAACGTGTTCAGAAGTGTGAAAATGTGACCTATACCACTGATGCTGACATCATGTATGTACAAAAGGGTAAGTGATGCAAGACTTATTGAAAAAAATGCTTTTTAACATAGCAAATGCAGTATGATTAATCTTGGTGACATAAGCTCTCCATTGTATATTTTTTTTAACGTATGCTGTGTCTCTTCGAGCTGTGGTTAAGTGCATGGTTGAAATTTGGCTGCTTGAGTCAACATAACTCATTGTCCTGAATATGAGGCTCGGGATGAATGTACCTAAATGACTGGCAGGTTTCAATTTAAATACCTCTGAGAATTCAGGGTGGGAACAAATCCCATTTGCCCTTGGGGTGGGTGTTGTTGGAGTATCGATGGGAGGTGTTTTGGTCACCCTGTCTGTGCAGTCAGTATTGTGTTGGCACTGCAAGGACAGATGGGGGGAGTGTGGGAACCGGACACAGTGTGCTGAGACCCTTCTCTCGTTGACTATGGCCTAGGATGCAGGGCACACCCAGAATTTGTGTCATAGTGCACCAGCTCTGTTGTCTCCAAGTTATCCCCCTAGGCATGCTCTGGAGGGTGAGCAGTGTAGAGGTTCAGAGAATTCAGTTTCACATAACTTCCAGAACTCTTCCTGACCCACCCTACAGTAGTTGGTGCCACTGAGGTTAGCTGTTTTAACTGTGTATTTCATTAAGGCACCTCCAGGTACAGTATGGACTGGGAGCAGCTGAAAATTTGAAGTGCGTTCATGCCTTGTAGTATTGAAAGTTGTAAAGGGCTTCATATTCATGGTATAGGGTTAAGAATTAGAATATGCTTTGAGATGGCCACCTAAGAGCCAATAGTTATTTGTGTGTCTGAATCTTCCTTTTATTTTTTTTTGGATGATTCCCATTCCAAAAAGGCTCTCAGTCTTTCTCAAAGTGACGAAAGTAAAGCTGAAAAAGGGCTGAGAAAAGCAAGCTGTTACAGCAGAATAAGCTTATTAACATAGAGGGTTAAACCCATACAATTTTCATGGCTATCATTCACATCATTTATCCCTATGCTTATGCAGCCATTCTGTGTGTAGAAGTTCTTTTAAGTGAGCGTTTAGCGTTAGAAAAATTCTGCCTTCATTAGGGTGTACGTGCATATAACTTAGAGATATATCTCTGCATCCTAATAAGTACCTGCCAAGTGGACAAAGGTCACACAGGCCCCAGGATTGCTCTTTCAGGTTCCATGCGCCGAACACTTCTTGTGAGCAGTCTCAGGTCTCCTCCCCGCTGAGGAGAGGCTGTGTGGTACAACCATCCAAAAGCTTAAATGTTGTAGATTTCCACTTGCCATGTACTTTATATGAAATTTCAGATTTCATCCCTTGTCAAGACTTCAAACCTGTTCTTTTAGATATCAATCAAAATCACATTTTCTGCCCTGTCCTCATTTACATTTATCTAATGCTTAAGGTCATTTGTGATCATTTGAGTGTATTTCAGCATATGGAATCAGTGAATAATAGATTTCAGCCTCACGCTGTGAAGAAAGATTGTGTTTTTACAAGACATGATGTTGTTTACTGGGTGTTAATAATCACTAATTAATAAACATATCTAGCCATCATAAAGTGTTGCGTTTTAAGGAGTAAAAATGTCAAGTGTTTAACTTCTTGAGTGCAATAGCATTGGGGGCCTTATTTGCATAAATAAAATAATTAAATTACAACATAAAGTGAAGTACTATAGGATCATTATAATAAACACATAATTTGATTTTTACTTGTACATTCTTAAGGCTTTTGCAGCTCTGTTGCAACAGTGTAAAGGTTTATAAAATAGATATTCAAATGACTCTCTAATCCTCAATATAATGATCATCTTGTACTTTGTCATACACATTAATAGTTTCTTTCTCCTGTCAAAATTAAGGTTATGCTCTGCTTAGTTACTTGAGAAGTGCTAATGGATGGATCAGTCCTTCAGATTCAGTAATGACATGTGACGAAGGCAATAACAAAGTTATTTGATCATTTCTCAAGGCCTTGAAGAAACTAAGAGCTGATGTAAACTCTGAAAAATACAACCCTGCTTCACTTTTACTACAATGGGAGTTGTATATATAATAATAATGGGGGGGGGGAACAACCCACAAGAAAATGTAGTGCTTTGTAGAGAGGAATGCAACACTGCCATGTGAAGTGACATGAGGTGACTTCTTTTACATTGATGAGAGCTTTCAGGTAAATGAATATAGGGATATATTTAAGTGACTGCAACATTAATCTGGAGAAAGCATGTTCCTCATTTAAACGTATCATTTAAACACTGCCCACACTTGCAACTTTGCACAGTGACTAGTGTAATCTTACAAGATTCTTTCCATATAAAAGATAATTCAGAATGCACCCTTCTCACTGCCTCTTCATCTCTTGTCAGGATCTTATGCTCTTTTCCTTACACATGGAGCAGAAATTATCAGTATGATAATCAGTTTGTAACTGTTCCAGACATTTCAGTCTAGACTTGGAAAATATGCCAAAAACATGTATGGGGCAAAAAGGAACAACCCAGTATCAGCCAAGAGAAGTTAGATTAGGACATCCTGCCATACATTTATTTCTTTAGATTTATACAAAATGCAGTAAACGAGCACTTATCTAGCTCTCTGCCAACTCTTGATTATTGTTTAAAAGTACTGTACTGTAAGCCAAACTGGCAGTTTGTCATTTTACGTGTTATAATGTAATAATAGATATTTAGTAAACAGTTTACTTCAGCAGTGGATATACAATTCTATTTTATTTTTAGCTTCTGTGGGTATGTTCAGAATTTCTTGCTTATGCTTACTGGAAATAGGTACAGTAATGCCACCAAGTTACTAATAATGACTTCCCATACTAAGGTGTATTAATACCATGTATGGGTTTGACAATCTTTTTTTTTCACAGTTCAGAAATTATCCATGAATCACATTGTAGGCCACATACGAGTGGCCTATGAGTTATCCTGATAGCCGTCATTTGTACCATCAACTGTTAGTTTGACATGCATCATATCATTGTCTTGAATGATCACTAATGATTAAATTAGCAATAACAGTATCAAGGAATCTCTGCTCTTTTAATGTGAAAATCTTCCTGAAACAGGGACTTGGACAGAAGAATTTGCTGTTATTTACAAATGTTATTGTTTTGCCAAGAGTTGTCTTAGAGAGATTACGTTCCACATAAGAGCGTAAACAAGTACATCAAGAGAGAAATGCTTGTGTGGTGTGATGGACCTGTTGATTTGATTTGATTAGCAATAATGTATCAGATATTTTGTTCATTCAGTGGTCAACATTAGAATCCACATAAAGAATGTATAACAACGTGACCAAAAGTGACAACCTTCTCCTTGAAGTTTAACAGATAGGTTTTAATCTTATCCATGAGTTTAGTGTTCCTTAGAAATGTAATGAATTTATAAGCTTCTAGAATTAAACCTAAAAAGAAAATCTTTCTAAAGACTAAATGGCATCAGTGTAGTTGTGGATGTCTCAATGATAAAGCATTGAATTATAGTATCCTCATTCCACCCTTACATTTATTACCTCTTTCTCTGTAACTGTCAACGTGTGAATATTTTACCTTACTGCAGTGTTCTTCAAATATGCCAGCTTTCTGATTTCAACTGGTTATGCAACAGGTTACATCAATGTAGGACAGCCTTAATAAAGACTGGCTTTTCATTTATCAGAATGATCCGAATGTTGCTAAATTCAAGGTTTTTGGAGACATATTTATTGCACTTTTTGTATTTGTCAGATTAGCAACCCTAAAGGAATTCCCTTCTTCCGACTACTTTTCCAGTCTCCTCATGTAACGCTCTTGCATGACAGCATCTATTGGCAAGGAGGGAGCTGCCAAAAGGAATGTTTCCTGCTCTTTGGTAAGGAAGAAAAGGTTTCTGGTTCCCATTCTCTTAATTTGATCACTTTATGCATGTGTGGGAAGAAAGAATGAACAGTCCGTCTGTTCATGCCCATTGTGAATTTGTAGCACTCTATCACAGAAAGCCAACTCAGGTGGAAACCATTTCCATACCTCTGATCATACTGTATTTTGTTCTGTTATGTAACCATGCCACAACTCTTCTCCAGTGGCTGCCTACTTTCCTTAAATGTTGTTGGTGAGGGTCTTTGCCAGTAGTTTTTGAAATCAGAAGCAGCCTGTGTTACCCAAATCACCCTTATCTGAACACTTGGTGACACCTTTGAAGAGCCCAAGGTTTATAAAGCAGGACTGCCTTTTACAGAAGACACATCAAAAAAGGCTTCTTGTCCAGAGTGAAGTGAATTCTTTGTACTCATGCAAAGAAGGAATTTCACATCTCTGAAATGTCGTTATCCTCTCTGAGTGCTCATTCTGTGTCCTGATTATCTTGGCAGGAATATTTAGAACAAAAAAAAAAGAGTACACTCATTTTTAGCCTCTCTAATTTTATTATTATATTAAATGTTCTGTTTTTCTGATCCTTTCTTTGGGTGCAACTTCAGCTTTTGGAGGAATGACATCTTGTTTCAAATAATCTTTTTTTACCATTTGGTCATACTAGCTGACTTTCATGAACTTCCAAGCCTGTCCTATTTGTGTATTTCACCCAGTTATGTTGACTTAATAGAGATGCAATTTATTTTAAGTTGCACTGTAGCTTCATCTGCCTTCTTTATGCAACCACATAAGAATATATAAAAAAAAACCTTGAAAAGATAGCAAGCTTTGTAGGGGAAATTCTAGGTGTTTGAGAGAATAGAGAGAAAAGCTAGGTGCTAGCTGAAAGCATAGCGTTATTTTAAGTACATCTTGATCAAATCCTTGGCTATCTTATTATGGTCTCTTAGCTTAAAAAACCCTGCTTTTGGTAAAACTGTTCTTGTACTTTCTTGGACTGGACAGAAAGACTAGCCAACTTTTGCATAGTGTTCTGGTTCATGTTGTTACCATTGAATCTTTATCTACCCTTCCTTGTCTGCCTTGGCTCTACCTTAATAGGCAGTCATTGAGCACCTTTTGCACACTTTCTTATTTACGGGCGCTGTTGCCTAATCTTTGCCACAGACATAGGAAAGTTGGAACAAACTTTAAATTTTGACAAAATGATGCTCGTAGTGTTATCTTTGTTTAAGTCATTAATCTTCAATTAATATTCAGTTATTCAAACATTAACCAAGGATACTGAAAATGAGTGGGGTTCACGAAAGAGGCTTAAGAGTGAATCAGGGTCTGGAAATGAGAGAATTAAATAGCTCTGTTTACTTAACTTTTCAAAGAAATGACTTGATTGTGAAGAAATGAATTGATTTTGATCTGAAAGTCTCATGGGGGAAAAAATATTCTTTAATAGAAGATCACTCTTTAATCTAGCTTACAAGTAGATGTAGAAATTGAAGCTAGACAAATTCAGTCTAGAAAAAAATGAGATTTGACAGAATGATAATACAGTAGAACATTTTCCATGGGAAGTGATAGCTTCTTAAGC